AAAGGTCGCCAGCATATCAGGGAAATGAGCTGGAATACTCTGGGCATTGATATGGACTACATTAAAATTCCGCGGAGCATTAGAAAATTGGTACTTAAGATTCTCATGGAGTGAGGGTATGCTAACGTAACTAGAATCAAGACTGTTTATCGAGTAAAAACTGTCATCATCATTATTGTCCAAGTCAGACATAAAGTTGACTCAAGAATATATAAGTAAACTAATAGAGCAATAATGTTCAATAAATAATAATAATATATGAATAGTAGCAATAAAAAAATAAAAAAAAAATAATTTTATGATCCACCCGCCAGTCGTGTGTTTTACATTTAGAAATTACTGGAAGATATTAACTAAATAAAAGTAATCCAAAAAAGAAAAGAAAACAAAAACAAAAAGAAGCAAAATTGTGTCACAATTTTCTGGGCGAACTTCCCGTTCAAAAGACTTTGTTCCAAACTTACAACTAATCAGTGACAAACAATAGTGTTGCAGAAAAATATGCGGCCTGGAACGCAATTTGACTTTCTTTGACACTTGACAGCTATTTTTGTTTTGAGAATTTTTTAAATAAAGGTAGATCAACAAAATAAATGTGTTCGGCTGGTTTAATGATGTTGAACAGAACTATTTGATGATTACCATATTCGAAACCATAAAATGTTAGTAAGGAAAATATATTTGGACTGATTCTCGCGTGAAATTCACCCAGACAGTGTAACATTACATTCAATGTATCTAAGGGAGAACCACATAGCAACCATTTACTTTTTTGAACCGACAGCAGCTCTCTTCGGTCTCGCAGCTTGAGTTTTGGTCACAGTTGGCTTTTCTGCAGCCACTGGCCTTATCTGGTCGAGATCTGCCACACAAGTGATACGATGGCGTGAACCGTCGGGACCCATAACGTAAACAGTACCTTCCTTGGTCCAACACTTAGTGATCCCGAATTCCTCACGTGCTGCCATGAAAGCAGAGTGTCGTGATCGGGTCAGGAACTCGGAGAGTGTCACACCAGTGCCCCTGAGTTTGGTCTTAGACGCCCAGAGTCGGTCCCGCACTGCCACTGCCCTAAATTTAACTAGGATGGGTCTTGGTTTTTCGACCGTAGTCTGTCGGCCCATCCTGTGACAGCGGCTTATACCATCAGCTGTAAATGAGTCAAGACCTAACTTACTTGCTGCTACCTCCGCGACGACCCGGGATATATTCTCATCCTTCTCCTCTGTGACACCATGTACCAGGAGTATCTTGCGACGGCTTCGGGTTTCCATGTTGTCCACCTCATTCGCAAGCACCTTCATCTGGCTTTGGAAGGACTTCAAGGTTTCTAAGATGAGAGTCTTGAATATAGTAAACTCCTCTGCGAGACCAGCCAAGCTAGCAGCATTTGAGGCCTTCTTCAGGAGCTCTGCTTCGAAGTTAGCCATCCTCTTCTCAAAACAATCCTGTAGTTCTTGTATAGTGCTCATAGTGATGCTGTGTGTAGTTTTTATTTTTGAAAATTGAAAACTTTAGTTTTTTCTGTGGATATAACACTGACTAGCAGGTATTTATTATTGAGGTTTTATTGTATTCATTAAATCTATATAAAATATGTCTATTCTATTTTTATTTCAAATTATTTATAAGAGCTTTTAAAGTTATATGTTGAGCTTTCAACTACCCACTGTGTAACCTGTTAATAAATTAATAAGGTGTGTTTTTTATAAATTTGTAGACACGGTTCCGTAAATAGTCGTAAAGGCAGAAGAAAAAATTAATCAATTCGATCTCAGATTCCAATCCGTAACCATTTCTGTAAGGTATTTGCTTTTATTAGGAAGTCTACACACAGTTAGTTAAGTAAATAATATGTCAATTTCATAATTTGAATGTTGAGAATGAATTTTGTGTAAATTTGTCTTCTGTTTATTTGCATTTGTTTTTTTTTAACGATATATTTTTATTTTTCATTTTTTTTTTTTTTGGCTATTTTTATGATGAAGAGGGGCAAAAGAACAGACAAGTATCCTGATGGTAAGTCGGTGTTTGAATCGCATTTAAATCGCTCTAATGGATATTCAATTTTTATTATTTTACTATACATTGCATTATATTTTATTGCAATGTAAGCTAAGACAACATACAGAGGGCCTAGTGTCAGTTTATTTCACATCTACTCGCTCTCGATGGTGGAGCGTGTTCGGCGTTGTGATTTGTGAAGATTTCAGTACGAGCCAATTACTTACATTGGACCTCTGGTTAGCCTCACACCGTGAACGACTGGTCGTCTATCTCCCTTTAGAGTACCATGTATTTATTTTATATCACATTAAACCTAAACTAGGAATGTGGTATTTTAAGTAAAAGCAACTGTTATTATTGATATAATTTCCATTACAAGATGTTTTTGTTTTTTTTTTAAAGACAACTCCCGCCTTAGGAATAAGTATATCCTGTGTCGCAGTTGACTTTACAAACATACATGAAACGGACACAGAGTACACCCAGACTCAGAACGACAATTTGTGGATCACACAAAGTGTCATCCTAAGTGGGGATCGGACTCACAGCACTCAGCGTAGTAGTAAACGGCGTGGCGACCGCTGAAACCACCACGCCATCTTCCAGTCATTTGCCAAAAGAAGTTCGTTGCGTAGTTGTTCATACGCAACAAATTTGTTTTGGCGAACGACTACCTATCTATAAACACTATGCAGGACTATTTATGCAAAAAATCTTGTAACATATCCACATTAGAGAATGAGCCAACTAAACTATTTCATGATGGGCGTGTGCTTCCTTTCCAGGTGATTGAGATCAATTTAAATTTGTAATGCAACCTCGTAAATTAAATTAGATTTAATTAAACATTCGTTACGCAACATCGACATAGTTTTACGTATTTGTTGATAAAGTTGAAACTGACCATATTTGTTATCGTATGGGCATGTATTTGCCCCATCACTCACCAGGGATGTCGTAACTGACGGAAAGTTAGATAACAACTTGGGTTCGAAAGAAACGGCAGTCACTGACACAGCTTCTTTATATGATGGCAATACTTAAAACAGGAATAAGGCTGGTGGTCAGATTTTCCTAAATAAGGAAATAATCCTGTCTAGTAAGAATGGAAACCACATCGAAGCAAAACCACTGTATGTGTTAATGTTACATATTAATTTTATAAATTTACTTAGATTGCGAGTGTCCTGCTTAAATCACTGTAGTAACTTCCGTGTAATTGAAAATTCGTTTCGTTATATGGTTCATTTTCTAGACTATCACATACCTGGAAAGTTGTTGTCAATACCGATGTAAAAAGAAGAGAACAAAAATATGGAACCAAATATAAATTGTAGGTTTAACTTATGAAAGAGCCTTATACTCGAATATGATGGAGATAACCTCAGATTAAAATATAATCCAGACGGGTTATATACTCCTCAACAAATAAAATGACTACGATCTCAGCTCACTAAGCAGTTCAGTTAGGGTAGCAGCGGGCAGCTTCTTCCTGGAGACCATGGTATGTTTCTGTCCCTATTTCAAAGTGATAGTCCTTGGGATTTTGCCGCTTCTATTTGTGAGGAGTTAATGACCGCCAAAGTAACGACAGAAAGGAAACGTGGAACGAGAAAGTTCTAGGTAACCTAAGGGAGTTTCCATACGATAAAAAGGCTTACTCAAATTAAAATTTCTCAACTGTGAAATATAAATCTTACAAATGACCATATTTTGAATAATGCACATTTTTTTTAAATTGGGTCTTAATTGGATGGTATAACGTCGAATGCATCGTAGCCTCTGACGACTTATTTTTAATATAACAGAAATTGAAGTATTAAAGCAATATTTGCCCAATCGAGAAAAAATCGAGGTAACACGCTGAGCTTAATTCTTTTTTTTTGCACAAGTACATGCATCGTCGGACTTAATTCCTAAGGCATTCTCTGCCAGTTGACCGATTGGGCAACTTACATTTCGGTTTCGGTCTTTCTTTTAGCTTCTCAAAGTATCATGATTTTCTTTTAATACAAACACAGTACATTATGTTTCTTTATTCATTTATTCGTATATTTAAATAAATACTTACATTTCTAAAATACAACCTCACTACTTGATCGTCACTATAATTACACAGCATTGTCCCTACATTCTTTATTAGTATTTAAGTTAAAATCAATCCAACATTCATTAACGAAAACTCAAACAAAAAGTTAATTATTCAGTCGTAGAAAATAAATTAAAAAGTTTTACGTTCGCGTTTACAAAATGCAAACAAAGCTATCTCTCCGCCTCATTTAGCGAATACCATTCAAAACTATATTTCTAAAAGTATTTTGATTGGTTTTTACACAAGCCACACAATATGCAACCATTTTTTTTTATATTTTTACTTAGAATACAACTCATAATTTTCTAAACACGAACATAGACCACAAATACTGAACTAAATTATCATAATAAATCAAATCGTACCATCAATAAATAAGACTCATTCTAGTAATTCAAAATTTAAAAGCAATGTTCACATCACACACTTATTACCTATAAAAAAATAATCCAGCTTTACCCCGAATTACGTAACCTAAAATTATTATAATAAGGCTATGGTTAGTGCGAACAGTATTTTTTTTTAATATTCTGAATTTCTAAATCAATGGTAAACTAGAAATTTAAATGGATTCGAAATTTTGTTTAGACAACAGGTCAATGTAAATGTTTTCTATGCTTTAGGAAGAAAACCATAATAACTAAACGTAAAAATTCTACCAATTTAAAAGTATCGAGTTTTGTTTATGTTTCTTACGTCCTTGTACTTTTAACATAATATCTATTTTATACATATATTTACTATCACTATATACACAAAGTGCACAGAGGCTGACTTAATGCATAAAAGCATTTTGTGCCAGTCTACCTAAGAGTGTGATAGTATTATAATATTATTTTCATTACGTATTACACGTACGTATTTTAGTTACGTAGTTCGGGATATTGTTTAAAAGTAGAAATCACTCAGTCTCGTTTTCACCATTATTTGGTTCAGTAGCATTCACCGACAAATTTCCCAAGCTCACGACACTCAAGTCCTCAGAACCGTCTTCGACAGCAGAATTTGTTTCATTACTGGCATTACTGACTTCTGGCAGAATTTCACAGTACTTGCCAGATAAGCCTGCAGGGCAGGTGCATCTGAACGAGCCTTCGCTCATCTCTACGGATCGACATTGTCCTCCGTTTTGGCACGTGTCTGGATTCTTTTCGCAGTAGTTGAGTTCTGGAAAAGAAAAAATATTATTTTTAATAATTTTAGTTTTATATTTAATAATTCTGAAATTCAAAGTAAAACTCAATATGTATTATATGCTTCCAGAATAGACTGAGCAGATAAAAGCCCTGACTAAATCATCGATCATCGTTGAAGCCTCAGCAAGATAGCAGCAAATACAGCACTATAGCTCTGTACTCATCGTACAGAGCTATAGTGCTGTACACTTCCAAAGCATTTTCAAATAAACCTAATCACGACCACTTAGTCAAGAGCATACGAATAATTAAAAGACCTATATTTATTAAACATAATCATGCCTTTATATTCTCAAATGAGTAAATCTCAAAAGTATATTATGAACTCTCATCAGTTTTATTTTTGTTCCCTAAAATAATTTGTTACACTTGGGAACACAACCAGGATTTTACGGTTGCATGTTCAACCACTATTTTCATTTCGATTTATCAATTCATCCGTCCAGAAAATGTTGAGCGTCGATTCTGAATATTTTTTCACTCCGTTTCTGTTAAAAAGGTGAATAAACTTATGTGTCTAAAATTGGTACGTACCTTCATCACATAACATGCCTCCCCAGCCAGGTAAGCACGTGCACTCCCATGGCCTCTTGCAGGTTCCGTGCAGGCATCCAGGATATCTGTGGCACTCGTTGCACATGGTTCCTGTCCAGCCAACTTTGCAGCGGCATTCTCCAGGTCGTCGGCAGTAACCGCGTTCATTGTGGCAACCGGGAGCGCAGATAGCTGTGGATTGTAAAACAATTAAATATTTCCTCTTCTCCCTCATTTTTTATTACTCTCTTGTCTTAGCACGTAGTGAATTTTAGAAACGCAGTGTTTATGTGTGTGTGTGTGTATTTATATGTTTTTATTTTCAACGTAGTGTTTGTGTACTCTTGGTTTTGGTAATTATAAAACATCACAACTGGCTTTACATTTAAAAACGTGGACCGTTTTGCAAAATTGCAAAACAAACATTCGGTCTGTATGTTGCGCGCTTGTGGGTTATTCAAAAATCTGTTGTACCTACCTACATCTTTGGAAAAATTTTAATTATCTTTTGTCTTTAATCTACTTACGAGTTTGGCACAGAAGTCCATGATAGCCTGGTAGACATTTGCATTCCAGCGGCTTGTCGCAGTAACCATGTTGGCAGCCAGGCAGTGGCTGGCAGGAACGACAAGTCGCGCCTGACCATCCTAATTTGCAGCGGCACTCTCCAGGTGTCTCACAAAATCCTCGAGTCGCGTGGCAATCCGAGCGGCAAATTGCTGCAATTAAATTTTTATGTTAACTATAGGCAACACATAGTACTGGCGATATGTAATAGTACGAGTATATAGCATCATAATGAATAATGTTATTGAGTACTTTCTTAAATGATATTAGATTATACATAGCTTTTTTTTTCTCTTTTTTTCTCTTTAAAAAGACAACGCCCGCATTAGGAATAAATCCTGTGTCGCGGGGGGCTTTACAAACATACATGAAACGGACACAAGGAATACCCAGACTCAGAACAACAATTTGTGGATCACACAGATTACAGTGTGTCACCACCCCTATTCATCCCGTGGGTGTCGTAAGAGGCGACTAAGGAAGCAAACTATGCAGCTCAACAGCACTGAAGAGAGAAGAAAAACTTGAAACAAACCCTAACCAACCCGTCTGGCCAGCGTGGTATAGTAGGCCAAAACCCCCTTTCTAAGGAGAGGCATATGTCCACCAGCACTATCAAAGGCTGATGATGATGATGATGAAATACTTATATTTCAATGTTGTAATGTAATATTTTTCAAACAATGTGCAAAATATTACAACAGGACTTGCAAAATATCGCGATGTTCAACTGATTTGCTATCAGGATACGCCGCTGTCGTGATTCGGCAAATGACAAGACGAATTCATCCAGAAACAAAAAAAATATAATGAAAAAAATTACTATAAAAAATACGTGATCGAAGCCACTTTTAATAACTACTCTTATAGGTGTTTGTTTGTTCATATTTTATGCGATGCCCTACCATTCATCCGATCATATAGATACAGATACGGACAATCAAATCATTTAATCTTTGTTCAAAACGATTTAGCTACTAAAGGATGAGATATTGAATTTCTTATGGTTTAGGGGCAAACGAACAGACGATCACATGATGGTAAGTAACTACCGCTGCCCATGAACACCTTCAAATAAAGAGTCACAAGTGCGTTGCGTTACTAGGGATTGAATTAAATCGCAATCATACATATGTGATTAATAATATGATTTATAAATTATGTCTTCGTACCTTTGACTGATTTACAAAACCATTGCGAATTAATTATTATTATTATTATTATCGAAAAGAATCTAAAATAAATCTAAAAAAAAGAATTTTGTTTTTTTTTAATGCCATTTATTTTTGTCTATGACAAAATCACATGTAAAATCGCTGTGGCTAAAACTAATCACTTCAAAAGTAGCAATAATTTCCATGTCTACGCGTTACCGTCGCTGTCCCCAGAACCAGAAAGAGCGAGGTTAAAAGCAATGTTGGAACTGCTTTACATCAATTGCTGTGAGCTCGTGGTATCATTCTGCTGTAGCCTGGCCCATATACCTATGTCAAAGCATGGTTTTCCCAATAATATTTAATTTAAAAAGTGTCAATAATACTTACGATCTGAACAAAAGATTCCATCCCAGCCTTTCTTACAGATGCACTCAAATGACTCGTTGCAGTAGCCGTGCTGGCATCCCGGTAGAGGAATACATTTGTTGCACCGCTCCCCGTAGAACCCTAGCTTACAGCGACACTCGCCTGGCCGTTTGCAGTAACCTGATAACACAAAAAGAAGACATTCTTACTTCTCTGTGAATACAGCCAGCTCTATTCTTTTCATTCATTTTTGGGGGTCATTACAACGAACTTACTATACCACGCTGGCCAGACGGGTTGGTATAGGGTTTGTGTCAAGTTTTCCTTCTCTTTTAGTATGCCAAAACCTCCTTTCTAAGGAGAGGCCTATGTCCAGCAGTGGACTATTACAGGCTGTTGATGATACAACGAACTTATTATATATTTAACAGTTATTAGTTTTCTAGTTGTGTTATTCTTGGGTTTTCTTGCAATGGTCGCAGCAAATCTGTATAACTATGTACCTATATATGTTTCTAATTTAAAAAAAAAAACAAGCGAGCCTTACAATTGTTGCATTTGATGTCTGAAATCTCACCTAGTATTTGACAGGCAACTCGATTAACGCAAGCGATTATTGGTTAAATTAAATAGCGCACGCTTCCTTAGCTTCCTGTTACACACTTCCGTCCCTTTTTACGAAAATAATTTAACAAGTTACCGAAAAGCTAGAGGCAAGATGTTACACGCCAAAAAAATGTGTTATAGTATCAAACCGTGGTCTCAAAAATATCATTTTAATAGGATTTTTTCCCACTAGTTCCAAACTGATTGAATAATTATTTGTATTTTATTTAAATAATAACAGTTAGTCTATAAAACGGCCTAAGGTCTGAAAGTCTATAAAACCCTACTTTATAAGGAGAGGCCTATGTCCAGCAGTGGACTAGTAAAGGCTGTTGATGATGATGATGATGATGATAAAAAACGGCGTAAGGGAAACTTACTTTCGCTTTCGATTGCTATACAGTAATTATAATTTTTATTATAAAATATCAAGTCAATAAAGTTAAATTGAAAAATTTATGATGGAATATATTTATTAAGTATAAAAAATAAATAATGATAAAGTAAACACTGAATGTCACTAAATGACAAGAAGTGTCGCTCCCATCCGCTATAATAAATATAATTCTTTAAATTAGTTTTATTGCTCAGTGTTTATAATATTGAAAAACAATTGCATCCTCCCAACCATTTTACTAGCATCTTTTACGGCGTAGGAGCATTCCCCGTGAACGAGCAGACTGGTCAGTGCCGGTCTGATGGTAAGCGCTACCCGTGGACACCTGTAATTCAAGAGTCCCCGCGTTGTCCGGCTTTGTGTCCCTTCACAGATTCAGAAAAATCTGTAAAAAGCGGCGAAAGACTGCTTATCAGTGCAGCAGTCGTTTTATGTGAGGCCATGTTATCGTAACAGTTGAGCCTGCCCATTTATACCCAAGTATGGCTCTCCCACGGTACGGTTCTCACTAATAATGCAGATCTAAAAATAACCTATCTACCGCTATACCTTTAACACGTTACGCTATAACACGTTTACACATCTGTGTAAAGTAACTGTAATAAGACGTATCACAAAAAGTGTCCCGTTCGTGCAAGAAGCTAATGAGATTTAAATAGTACACACCGTTATATTTACATTGAAAACGTAAAGTAATATGTTTATAATCGGCTTAAGTTCTTATTAAGTCTCACTAATGTAAAAAAATCGAATGTGTGTTTGTTTATTGCACAGTCACGCCCTAACTACTTTGCATCCAGAAACCTAACCTAATAATACTCGCACCTTATCTACCTGAGATTAGGTGCAGTAATATTAAATTACATTTAATAATAATAAGAATTAGTTTAATAAGAAAAAATAAGAAACTTGAAAACTTGTTTTAAATTTACTAGCCACAGAAGACCTCTTCTTAAAAAAACGTTTTAAAAAGCGTAAATTTTCAAATTCTCGATCTCACGATGATCGGGATTCCGCTATGTCACTGTTTTCTATAACCGTTATCAAGATTCGCATCAGTGACATTATAAGTGAAATTAACCCCAAACAAATGACCCCAACAAAAGTACTTTAAGAGTTTTATTTTAATCAGAAAGGAAAATCACATGGCACAAAAATCACACACATGGCTGGCATGACAACAACCCATTGTCTGGTTTCATTTTATTAAACAGAACATGACTATAAAACATAATGCATGACGATTTCAAACATGTTGAGGTAAGTTACGTTAATATAACAAATACTGGTGTTTTCCCTCATCATTAAATTGTCTAAGGGTGTATGGCGTGTCATGCGAGTATGCATCTATCGATATAGAAATTAAATAATTCAGTCATCCATAAATATTATTAAACTATCATAATTCTAGACTGGTTTCGTAATCAGTTATGGACGAAGAGTTGACAAACGGTGCCTGCGGGCCAAAAGAGGATAAAAAGGAAAGTGTTCATACGTTACTTATGGGCTTCCTTGATGTTATTCAACATAAGTCATGTTGAACTATCGATTATTCTTAATCTTAATAATGTCTACCCCTAGGTAGAAAACGTTCAGAATCATAAACATTTCTACATTTTAACATCAATCCTTTCAATAGAAATCAATATCATTGTTATCTATGGATAATACTATATTTTTACTAAACATATCGCAATAAAATTATAGTATTGTGTTTCTTTATGAACGTAGTCAAATTAGCAACATTACGTGTCCTTAAATTAAAACTTTGAAATGCTGTACAAAAGCTCTTAGAATCTTACCTTGAAGTGGGTCACATCCTTTCTTACAAATAGGTACATCGCATAAATCGCCCTGCCAGCCTGGGTGACATTTGGGCTCGCCCTTTTCATCACAAATGTAGTGGCTGTGCTCGCTCTGCACTGCCGGCAGCTCACATGCCTGTTGTACAAAACAGCAATTTTTAATAAACCAGTCGTAGTAGAAATTGTCCTATTTTTCTGTGCGGAAATCTACACAGATACCGCCAACTGTGGTGCCGCCACGGTGTGGCGCCACGGTGGTTAAGTCGGGCTCGAATCGACTAAAAACCACATGCCGTCTCGGGTACCAGTAGCCGGGGAACACAACAACAGCAAGGGAACAAGGAAATCCCTGTTACCCCGGTAATCTAGAGTTAACTAACTTCTAACTTCCCGAGTGTCATAACTCTGTGTGTTAGTGGGTCACTGCTATTGATCCTGGTGTATAAGAGTTACAGTGGTGGGAGGGATTAGTCTCATAAAGGCCGTGTGCGAGCCGAGCGAATCCGGAACAACCGACCCATTTGTGCCGTAGCAAGGCTCTCCCACGTTACTCATTAAGGACAATAAAAAATATTATTCGTAATGTATTAAAGAATAATGCCTAAGAAATAATATGTGACTGAAGTTGTTTTTATTTTATTGTATCTAAATTTACAACGAGCCAATTATTGAAGACAAAAACTTAAATTTACAAATCGGCGATTTTAATTTTTATAATTTTCATTAAACTATGTATAATTAAAATTATTCATTCTCACGATTATGAACACGACACATCAAACGCCAAAATCTATCAAGCTCTGCCATCTATCACCCTAGATTCCAGGGCATGCGGCGTAGTACTGTACCCGAAACGGTTTTTAGTCGGTTCGAGTCCTACATAACCCTAGTGGAAGATATCCAAGGGGATTTCCGCCCAAAAAAAAAGAGGACGTCCTCACGTGCTTGTTTAGGCTGAGTGAGAGATGAGATTTCTCATTAGATTAATCTTGAGAAAGAAGTCGATTAGACCAAGCTGAGGTCTTCTCAGCAATAATACGAATGAATAGAGACTCGCGGTGATGGGCGATTGATTAAATATTTCACGCAAGATCTGGGGCGACAGCTATTGTTGTTCCATATAATATATTCCAGTTATCCTCACATAAAACTTATGATAATAGCTACTACATAATTGCGATCATTGGAATTTTATTAATATGATAATACATGAATAGGTTTATTTGTATGCATTTTTTGAGCAAATTGAATTGTGAAATTTGTATATAGAAAACAGAGTGTATCATAAAATAATAAATTTCAATTCATAGAAACACCTCTTTATGCTGCCGTCCACCAAGGCAATCACAAAGAAATGATGCTTGATTTTAATTTCATTTAAACTAGTCAATTTTGAGGGACATTTGCCAAGTAAGTTCTAGAAAACATGTTGATGAATACCGGCGACGGTGGAAATACTAAGAGATATGCTAAGTTATCAACGTTCAACAATCAAACAATTACATAATTAGTATTGGGAGTCAGGTCAACAGCAAAAATTTTAGGGCTCTTTACCATGATTTTCTTTTAATTTTCATGATCATACAAATTAAATAAATTATTATTGATAAATGTAGATGTAAGTACTCGCTATAACAGTTACAAGGTATAATCTGTTTTTGAAACGTTGGGTAACCAAAGAAGGTGTTATTGCGAGTAGGTAATCTGATCTCGATTTATTCATCTTTAAGAACTCTTTTTAAGATTCTATTTTTATAATGAGTACAACTTGGGAGTTATCTTCTATAGAAACACACAGTTTGAGATCACCCAGACAGGCAAGTGAGTAAACTATCCAGCTGTCTTGCACTTTATTAATAAAAATAATTGATAAGGTTGTAGAAAGCGCTGGAGTCTCCTTTCATCCTAACAGCAGGATCGCATGCGCAGATCGCACGAGTCACCGCAGGAACTTTCTAATATGAGTCGTGAGAAAGCAATGAGAAAGTGTGCCACGGGAAAACGCCGGTGAAAACATTTAAGTCTTACTTGTTTGTTATTAAATATTATTCAAAATTTTGTTCACTTACGATATGAATTAATTTAGTTGGCAGAGACGTGTCCCCGATATGGTATACTGTTTTTTAGCTCAACAAAACAAGATACATATTAAATTTTATGAGGGCTCTAGTTCTTAACGTGTCCGAGCCGTGGGACAGGTAAGGTTAAAAGAAAAAACACATGTAATAGTCCAGAATAGACCAGTCAGAATGCATTTATAAACGATTTCAAGAAACACGTTTTTTAAGTTTTTTTTCTTGTTTGGGAGTGCTTGTTGTGGCTAATTTAAATGTATTTATATATACCTTAATAAACACATTTAAATTAGCCATAATAATAAAATCATTTAAATTAGCTATAATTATACTTTCGCGATAGTTGTTTAAAATTTTATTTTTCCATTTTTCATTTAATATTCCTCTATTAGATCTCTTGAGGAGGAAAAAATATAACACAATGAATAAAGACATCATTTATGTGCATTATTTTACAGTATGTCAATTAGTTTTAAACAGTTTGTAAATTAGAATAAATTATCACATATTTACTACTACATATTTCACAGAATTATATTAAATTGATATCATTAAAAATATGGTTTATAATTAACTTTCTGAAAACCAATATTATTAAAAATAATAAAAAAATCAAAAATTAAAAACCTTATTATTCAAAAAAATATTATTCCATTTACAAAACTTTAAATTTTCATTAAAAAAAAAACAAAGTAGCTCGAAATTTGTTTCAAAAAATTATTAAAAAATAAACGAACCTGTTTCTTCCATTTCGGCAAATTCTTGGCCGGTAACGCTGTGTTCACGAAACACACAATAAAAATCAATACACGCTTCATCTTACTCCATTTACTGATATTGAATGTGCAGTGCGATGTGCAGCGCGCGCGGATGTTAGTACTGTACTGTTATATCGTGTTAATGAACTTGACTCTTGAGGAGCTACTTTCGCCGCGATTGCTCGTTACGAGGCCATCAAAAGTGAGATTTGGTGCCGTGACTCACTCGAGAGGGGATTTTTCGGACGGCGCCTTTAATTTTGTATTATAGGTCGTTGTCTGTCATGCGAGACGAACGATATAGAAATTTATTTATAATCGAGGATAAAAAACAACGTTGGTCGTGTCTGCGAATGAGATACTTACTACAATATCTACAACTATGGGCAACATAACTCGGGATGAAGTAAACAATGTTAGCTACTGACCGGAATGCAGGCTGTGTGAACTGATCACTTGATATAAAGGTGTTATGAAGGCAAATTAACAACGTTACAGCAGTTACACAATTGTCAGTATAAATACAGCTGACTATCTGGACTGTAAGATCCTGATGAATCAATACTGATGGAATGCTAACAGTTGCACTCGCATTCGTTTCATCTCTGAAATAGTATATACCTAGTAAATAATAATGCTATGTTTTATAGTAGAAAATACAGCATTTAAATTTCAAGAAGCAAGAATACTAGGAAGTACGTTCTGTAACTAACGTTTTTTACTGTAGTTTATTAATACACAGGAGTACGTAGTTATGGATCTTTTGCAAGGATTCGGTTATACCCTAAGAATGATGACTCGGAGAATCTTATTGTTAAGATTGGCGTACATCGCCTTGCCGCCCTCTAGTTCAACTTGAGAGAGGGTGTCGGAAATCATTCTGGACTTTAGGGCGTTTGGTGGGTTTTCTCTAGCACCTGATTCATATTAGCTCTTTTCTGTTCTCGTAATCCTTCAAAACTTTCAGGATTATAGAAAAGGATCAGAGATAAACGAAATTAGTTTATGATTTGTATAGTTTTCAGTTATTTTACTTGACTTGACTTTATTGATTTCTGTTGTGATTTTTCTTCTTTATTCGAAATAAAGAATATTTTTAAATAACAATTAAGTAAATCATTTGTTTAAGAATGATGTATGGCTATATAATACCGAAATCCAATAGAATTTTGTGCCAAATGTAAATGTATTATAAAATGACATACGACAACAATTTGAGTATTGATATTAACTTTTTTTTATCTAGAAAAATGTGCACTCTTACATGCATTTTGGTATTTATACACGGTGGTGAATAAATAGTACGATTTTTGATAGATTTTATTAATAATAATATCAAGAAGTTCGGGGTGGGTTGCTAGTATTAAATGCTCCGCTTTAAAGCTCGCTGTTCCCATGGCCCTCTTGTAATCAATTTAATTTCATCACGATTGGCTTGCACTTCGGATGCATTACTTATACTTTACAGGTAAACGCATAAAACTTATAATGGGGCTAAGCAAATAGCACGAAATGAGATGCGGATGTTCGCGACCGTTATTTATACTTTTACAAACCTCTTACCAAGAATTGAAGCAGGGAAATTCGGACGTCATCAGTATATAATAATGGTCTACTTTAAATTGAGACACGGAGCTCTCTTGCCTTATTAATCCCAGCGATCTTTCCCTAAAATATCAGTTTATGTATTGGTAAGTCCCTAATTGTATGGTGACGGATTAAGAATACAGAGTCTCTCCATTTCCTTTCATACTTAGATGTCCAGTAGGGCCGACGTATGCAATTGTTTTACCGTAAGGCAATTTAATGACAATGATATCTTATTTTTGATTTTAAATTATAGGTACACCTTCCACATTTGTCATTGGTCGAAGTGAGAACACATAAGAGGCTTGGCACCGACTTCAAACAGACTAGAAGTATCTATTGCTATTATATTGTTGCCTATTATATTGAGGGGTCGCACTTATTTTGTTTTTTTTTTCAATTAGGTATATTTTTTATTATTAGTGCTCTTTGTTAGTAGTTTTTGAAGTCGGTTCAACTTTTTTTTTAAATTATTTATTATACCATTTCAATGCATATGTAATTAGTACATACGGTATTTAAAACACTACGTAGGTACTGTACTGTTTATATTACCAAACCGTGGTATGTTAGATTATATTAAATTTAGGTTAAGAAGTCCGTTACTTTATTTATTCAAGGTAGTAAAATGTTAAATTTGAAACCAAAAATATATTGTTTTCCACATTACTTAATTTTACATCATTAGGAGTTTTTTCTTCACATTTGAATGGAAACAACTCGGTTTACAAATGAAAGAGTTTTAAGGTACCTAGCTAACCTGAAACGTAGCAAACTTTTTTTTGTCTATACTCATTTATTGTAATCTCGTTTATTACTTTCTAATGCACATTTCTGACCCAACACAAACACCTAACAAGGTCAATAGGTACATGATTATATAATTTAAAGAATTCTCCTCTAACTCTTAAAGGTCAAGCACCTTTCCATCATTAGCTCAGCAACATGAATGTTTTTTTTTTTGTACGTAACCTTAATAAATTCGATTTTTATACTTATGCATGTGTATTCGTTCTAGTAATTAGGTTTTATAACGATTCCTTGTTTTATTTATTTTGAAATGAATGCAAAAAACGATGTCGTCGTCGAAGACAAATGTAAAGTTTACCAATAAATTTTGACGTAATCAGAGCCGGAATGCAGCTTCAAACTGAGCACGCTAAAATAATCATTTAATTTTTACGCTTTAATACAAAGCAATGAATTAATTAAGAACGAGATTTAAAATTTAGAATTTCGCTATTCATGTTACACTAAAAAAAGAAAGTTATAGTTTTAACTGCACGTGGCAAACATGACATAATTCGAATTCATTACTTACACGGACTGCTAGTAATCATGCTCTCCTTTAATGAGATTTGTTACATCGAATTTTTAATATGCTTACTTTATAGTCAAATGTATAACTCATATAAATTAAATATAAAATTATGATCCATGGTTTATTAAACCGCGTGTTCGAGAAAAAACAAGGGTGCACCAGCAACAGTCTTCTTTTTAAATATCCTAATGAGAACTTGCAAAACAAAAGCTGTCTATGGTGAAAAACAGGTTTATTTTATAAGGAGCTGGTAAACAATCATGAAGTAATTTGGGGGCAGGACAGAACAATAATCGTTGGATCGCCTAATCTTTGCATAGTATAAAGCATAATCAAGTCGCTTTTTTTGTTGTAGATCTTTTAAGCTAAGCAACGGATTTTAATGCGGTTAGTACCAATAGAGAGAGTGATTCAAGAGGAAGGTTTATACATATAACAATGCATATTATAGAGAAAATGCGAGAATTTCAAAGATTTGTCGTAAAAAGTATGGTTTTGCGAGCTTACATTGCAAACGCTGGCTTAATCTTTACGAGATAAATCAAAAAAATGTAGGTACCGCGATGGTATATTTCTTAAGGATAGATAACCCACAGTAAACATTTTTATATTTTAAATAATACAAAAAAAATATCGGTTAATTACGAAGCTAATTTAAACAATTCATTTTTTTCTTAATCCAATTAAATACGTTAGGTATGTTGTGCACTTAATTTAGTTTAAAATTGCCTCTTTACAGCATATCATTAAAATGCATATTTTAGAAGATATTAGAGGTTTAAAATGTGGGGGCAAAGCGGCCGTCGCCGCTTCGGCCTGTACGTCCGTCGCGGGGCGGCCGGCAGGATAGGAGCGGGCCTATAAATATTGCATAATATAAAGATATCCTCTAGTATAGTATAGTCCTCTTATTGTCCCTATCTTGGATTATGGTGATGTATGCTATTATGACCTGAATGCAGATCTCCTCAATAAATACGACCGCCTTCTGAATAACTGCATTCGATTCGTCTTTAACCTTCGCAAATACTACCATGTTTCTTCCTCTCGTCGTGAATTGAACTGGCTCACGATTCGTCAGCGCCGTCAGCTGCATGCCCTCACCACCCTCTATTCCATACTCAACTCACCTATTTCCCCTTCCTACTTAACATCCTCATTTCATTTTCTATGTGCCAATCACAACAGAACTCTCCGTTCATTAAACAATCCACTTCTGTTATGCCCCACTCATACTTCCGCATGTGTCCACTCTTCGTTCTTAATCCAATCTGTCCGCCTCTGGAACTCTGCCTTTGAAAATCAGGATAGCAACCAGTCACCTCTCATTTAAGACGAAAGTCCGAGCTCGAATTCTCGACACTCTAGCAGACTCATCACATCCCTAGTCTTAAAGTGTATGAACTATATGTATGTATGTAACTCAGCAAGTATATATATGTATGTGTATCTCAGTATGTATGTAACCTAATTTTAATTTCATGCTCCTACTTAAGACATTTCCCCACCACCCAAAGGTAGACTGGGAGAAAATGCCTTTGGCATTAAGTCCGCCATTGTACAATGATTTGTTGTTTGTGCAAAAAGAATTAAATAAATAAATAAAATAAATATAGTCCTATCATAATAATAGTATAATTAATTACTCCATACTGACACCACATTAGTAGTATCTATATTGCACACGTCCGAAGGCGGGGGCGGATCGCTCGTTCAAAATAAAACAAACCAGAATACCTTCACATGTTACCATTTATTTATATTATTTTCTTTTCTATATACATTATATATTAAGCTATATACACACGTTTTAGGTCCATGTTATATTATCATCAGTTTTACATACACATACAGAAGCTCTGAGCGATACAAAGTTAAAAAATACACCACATACATCACCGCTATAACAACTTATTTACTATAGACAATAAATATAATGGAATACATAAAGGGCATGTTCAAAGTAGTTTTTAAATTGGCATGATACTTAATGATGCCAAAGTGCTGACTGAAAAAAATATTTGTGACAGAACATTTGACAACTACCAAAATTTAAAAAAGCAACCTTAAATTTAAATAAAATACAATTGCACTAACGCGTGACAAGAATACATTCATCTTTTATAGTTTTTCTTCTATAGGTATAATTTCT